AACGTTATACTGGGGAAAAAAAAAAAAAAAAAAAAGGAAAAAAATTCTAACCCTCATTTAAGAATGACTGCCAGAAGATTGCTTCTTTTTTGTGAGACTCTGAATTGCTAAATCATTTTTCGCCCTTGGTGATAAAGCCTGGTTTTTGCCTCTGTACCTCCCTAGACAAACTGTTAGAAGCTCTCAAAGCGTGTACCCAGTCAGCTTTAAATCAACCCAGGTTTAAAGGACCACACGACTAACAAACTAAAGATGTCTTTGTAAATCACTGGCATTAAAAACATTTCTGAACAGTTGAATGCCCTTTTTTTTTTTTTTTTAAATGTCTCATGGTATCTTTTACTAGCTTTTAGTCATGTTTTTGAGTCTGGACAACATAAATACCCACTGTAAAATAAACTAAATGCAACTCTTCAAGTAAGTGTACCAATCAGCCTTCTACACCCACAGAATGAAAAAAAACCAAACCAAAACACACAACCAAAACCCCAAACCCTCCCACAAAACCAACCCTTCCTCTGCTGCTCACTACCACGGCCGCGACGGCAGCTGAAGTCACAGCCACCCCCCTGGCCACCCCGTGCCTTGCTGCGGCCCTTCAGCCACCACCTCTCTCAGAAGGAGCTTTCAAGCCTGTCAGCCATCCATCAGTCGTCGCCTCAGCAGAGCTAACCAAGCGCTACGCCTCAAATTTGGTTCTCCAAAACGCCTAATAAGCAGTCAAACATCTCGGGTGCAATCTAATTTATGTGGGAAAAGGGCATCTAAGGATAAAACACTCCTGAAACACTACAACAGCCTATACACATCACTTCCCTAAACCCCAATGCTTTTTTTATTCTGGGAAGGACTAAGCCTTCCGCAACACTTCTGACCCTGGCAAACGACCCTCCTCCCTCTTTGTATTTTTTTTTATTTCCCCAGCTGACCCTGTGATCAACATACAGTACGTACGCTACACGTGCAAGTTTGTCACTGCCCACAGATAATGCACCATTACTTTCTTTTCGTCCACTGCTCTCCAGCTTAGACTAGGTACTGTTCCCAGCGTGACATACCTCTAACACCAAAATGCCAGCAAAGGTCAGAGACAATCCAGAATATACGTGATGACACCCTCCATCACAGTCATAATGCACGATTGTTGTAGTAACGTAGGTATTTTTCTTTGCATGGGTAGATTTATTTTGTCAGAACTCACCTTGTGGCTGTGGTGTTTGCGGTGAAGGACCAGAGGGATGGAAGTAAACGTAGGAGTTTATAAAGCACAAGTCGAGAACAGTAAGAACAGTACTCTCTGCGACATTTTTGTTATTTAAAGGATTATACATGTCACAAAAGTCCAAACAGCTGGTGACACAACAGCTGACTCTCTGCAAGAACTAAACTGCACATATGCTGTACTCGGCAACCGCCCACAAAAATCACACGCTTCCACAGCTGGCCTACTTCCTACTCTCTGTCGTGCTTTCTCTTCAACAAGTGGATGGGGCCAGCCCCACCATTATTTTTCCTCTTCTATTCCAGGTTCGCAGGGAGAACCTGGGAGAGGTTCAGGGCCAGAAACAGGAAAACAGACATAATACAATTTTTAAAAGTTAGGATGTAATCCTGTCCCATAAGATCACTCTCCTTTCAATACATAGCTTTAGATAAAAAAGAAAGGATCTAAATTTAATGTATCCTCCAGAAAGCAAATTGCTTGGTGTCCCTGTATTTCACACATCCTATGTAACAGCCTTCTTTTTGTCCAGGAGAAAAAATAGACCTGAAATTGTTTCCAGTTCAGTGCCAGGTGTCACCATTTAAAATTATTGGTTTCTTTGCACTGTAGGAAAGTTTCCAGTATGCCCTTCCTTCCGCACGGCAGCAGTGTCAGTGTGGCAGCCAAACATGCCAGTTGCATGCTTCTGTCCACCTGCTATTACCGCTGGTTATATGGAAGAGGCAGAAAGAGCACAGAGCTAAAATTAAACCCTTTACCTGACTGACTGAAATACTAGGGTAAAGTGTATTAAGTCTGGAAGAAAGGGCTAGGAGCTTTAAGCAACACCCCACACAGAATACAGAAACTTTGTGCCAGAGAGAGGGTACCGATTAACTCTGCTCATTAACGCCTCAGTTATCTGTACCTGACATACCTTTGCCTTTCTCTTGCAAATAATTTCTCCTCTTTATTTTAAGAGGCAAAGTCTCAAAGTGGGAAATACTGGTCTGAAGCGGACCGCAAGTCACCTGGACCTCCCAAGGATTACAAGGCATATATATGAGAATGGACTTTGCTAAGTGATATTGACTGAGTCCAAAGAGGACTGACTGGGGGAAGAAGTCCAGAATGGTAGGAGTTGGATGGAGGAACTGTGGATGCTCTCTCCTGTCCAGGTTGCTCCCGCACAGTTGGAACTAGAAATATACCCTCACGCCTATAGTCAGAAAATGAACCTCTGTGGAAAGGAGTTGATTTTTTCCTGCTTCATGAAAACAAACTGATGCCAAAATCCATTTTTTAGATCTACAAGGTTTCGAGGAAGAGTAGAACATTCTGCTTTTCCCAGTATGCCCAAGGCGGAGAACTGCTTTGTTGATGTATACAAATCGTTCTTTTTTCCTGCTTAAGTCACTTTATTTCATGCTTACTATACTAAGTGACTTAAGCATAGGATCAGCAATATATATATACACACATGCATATGTACGCATGCATTCTATTTTTTCCTCTTGACCAGTCAATATTCAGATATCTCTGTACCCTCTTGCAGACTTTCTTATTTGAGTCCAACAACATTTGGTCTCAAGTAAGACCAGACAACAGCTCTCTCTTATTTGTTCAACATCATCTTGGCCACAGTATCTTTTATTATTTTGGGTGTATCAGGATATTCTTGGTTAGAAGCCTGACCACAGTCTCCTTGTCACTACTCTTTGTTGTGTTTACCCCCTACTGTTTGTGCAATAAAAAGCGATGAAAAAACAAGTTACAGTAAATCCATGGTTACCTAGTTTCGATCAACAGCTATATAAAGACACAAACACTTACTCTTTCATACCAAAAGCATTGTGCCAGAGGCAGAAGTGATTGTTTCTGATCGACCTTTTGGGGAGGCTGAAGAGGTTATCATTCCAACACAGCAGTACAAGAGCAAGCACTCCTCTAAACACGGTCTTTAATCCTCTAGGAGAGAAAGGTTTCATCTATCTATGACACTGCTCTCACCTAGGGGAAGAAACCGCATATCTTACTCGATGTTCTAAAAACCAGTAAAGTAAGGAAGGTTAGAATTTACATGGGAAAGTTTCGAAAACTGGTAGCATGAAATTGTAGCAAAGGACATTGTTTTAACATAGTATCACTAAGAAAGATAAGGCAGAACACAGATTTAAAAAAAAAAAATTTTAAAGTATTTTCTTATTTTACAAGTACAAAAAGCAATGTTTAAAAATCAAAATCCTGGAAGATACTCTGGAAAAACTGGCTTCTAAAGCACAAGACTTCCCTGTAACAACTCCCAAACAATGTCACCACTCCTGAAAATCCTGCCTTCAGTGAGCAAAGGCATGATCCAGCTCAGTAACCCTTTTTAATAACACTTTAAACCCCATAATCCAGCAGTCAATCTGACCAGTCTCTAAAGAATGTGTCGAGGCACTCTGTGGCTACAGAGCAAAAGGGTTGGCATGAATCGTAATATCTTTAATGCGAACATCATTAAGAGGTCGGTAGGTTTTCTCATTCACAGGCAGCTTCTCCAACTCATCCAGGGTCTCCAAGCCATCAATAACTCTGGAAGACAAGCAGAAGTGCTAGGAATCTCCTTCTGATAACGATTTAAATTTCACGACTGAGGTATCTCAAAGCACTTTACAGTTAAGCATCATAGCGCAAGGACTTTGCAAGCAAATGATACAAATAAGACAGCCAAAACACTATATATGGCATATAACATCTTTGGAAAGGAAACATTAAGCATCCATGACCCCTTCTGATAAAAAGTACAAATAATTCCCACTGACCTGACAGCATCATATTTTATACCAACCATAGCTGTATAAAGACCCTAGCTGCACTTCCTGGCAGGCAGGACTGCCTGATCACAGTACAGGTCTAAGTAGCAGCGAGATACTGGCCATACCAAACTTCACTGTGAATCACTGAAATCCTATGGCTGGAAAATCAACTTCCAAATGGGAGATTATAATTTCTCACCTTCTGACTCAAAGGCAAGACTGGACAGAATCATTAATAATTGTGTAAATCTAATAGCACAAATATATTTAGGCTTCTAGATCTCCTGTTCAGGCTGAAGAAATGGCAAGAGAGATTCTTCTGATAAACCTCTTACTTTTTTGTTTAAATAATTAGCTCTGGTAAATCTTGGCAGTTTATTCCCCAGTAATGGACTTGGCAGAAAACATGTGCTGTTCACAGTTCAATTCAGTCACATTCATCCACTCTTTGAATATAGGATGCTGAATTGCAGGCCAGCAGGGACTGCGTATGCTGTTCTGCTGATTCTGCATCTGGGGCACGAGTATCTTAAACTGCCACAGAAAATCTGGCAAAGCCTCTACTCTTTTCTAAGAAAGATGTCAAAAAAACCCTTTCAATCACACTTCTAAACAAAGTCAGAAATGAAAGGAACACCTATACTTAGATGCCTATAAACAATACAAGTGGTAGAAAATAGTTTTTTCACATTTCAGTAGTTTCCTTTGAATATTAACTCCATTTAATAAAGGCAACTTTGTCTCAGCAGATTCACTTGTACACTTGAGACTTTTTAACAACAAGAAAAAAAAAGACTTTACCAGGATTTTGAGATAGAAAAAGCAGCATCTGAAAGACTCAAAAATTAAACATTTGCTTTAAGGATGATATATTATCAGTAGTGTCTATCAACATAAGAATGTTTTAAAATAGTGATGCAGCTTAAACAATCTCATCTGATTTTATAAACGGTCAGTTCTGTGAGTTTTGTCTGACCAACAGGAAGTTCCACCTGAACAGAAGCATGACCATGTCAGTACCACACCCACCCCCAGCTCCAGTCCCAAATCAGATTCTTGCTTCTGAGTAAACCCTACAACTGTGTATCCAGTCGTCCTGGAGTTTGCTTAAAATCAGGCTGCATCTGTTTGGGCATGGCTGAAAAGGCAAGCTGGAATAACTAGTGTGTGTGTGTGGGAGCTCCATTCTTGAGGTAATTTTTAACGTGCTTATTTCCACTGAATTCCCTAGTACTAAGAAAAATGGAGCAGCAGCATTTTGGAGCAAGTAATTCTGGTGACAGTGAAAGAGCATACATTTACACATACACATCCAATATTTTAAAGAGTTTTAGAACCAGAAGCTTCTAATTTTGCATTGCATGTGCCCTGAAATATTCAGATCTTTCACACGCTATGATAAGGAGGCATGCAGCTGGATCACTCACTTCCCAAAGACAGTGTACTTCATGTCTAGGTGCGGTTGCTTGCCGTAAGTGATGAAGAACTGCGACCCATTGGTATTCGGACCATTGTTTGCCATTGAAACTACCCCGCGGACACTGTGCTGAAAGAGGGGAAAGACCTCAACATGAATACACGTCTGTGAAAGCAGGACTTCAACCTGTACAAAGTGCTCTGGGACTTAGTACTCTGCCTCAATACCATTATTAAGAACAAATTTTGTTGCCAATATATTCCATCACAGTCTATAATTAGCTCTCAAAATTGCTCTTACAATGAAAAACTACTTCTTTGCCTTCAGTGCATGAAAAAATACTTTGTTACAAATTCTCTCTACTTCTGTTCTCAGTGATGAAAACCATCAAACCTAACTTGCCAAGTACAGAAATGCCTGTTCCTATTTTAATAATAAGCTTTCTATCCCTTTATTGCGGGATTATACTTTGCTTCACAATTACAAAAGAGGTATTTAATACAGTACAACACAATGCTGATCGTTCTCCAACTTGTAAAGAAAATTCATATGAAAACGTAACTGCATGTTGAGAGCACAGAAATACCTTTAGGTATTCACTGAATTCATCTTCGAACTTCTTGCCCCAGATGCTGTTACCTCCTTTCCCAGTGCCTGACAAAGAAGCACCACAATAGATTACTGGATTTTCAGACTGAAAAATCCAGAAATGATGTACTGTTATAACATGTTACAACAAAGACCCTAGATAGACCGTAATTCGTTTGAGGCAGGGATCAGGTTCTCACGTCTTGATACTGAGCAGAGACATAACTCTCATATAAGGAACACCTACTAAGTACCAGAACAAAACACTGACATAGCCTCAAATTAAGTTCCGTATGAGTACAAACAGACACACAGTTGAATCAGATTTTCTCCCAAACAGTTGACACTGTCTGGGACGTTTTCCCCAAACGCTTTAGAGACAGTGCAGCCTTTCAGGCAGAAACCAGAGAAACCACCGTAGCAACTGCTACCTGTTCGGCAGCTGGTAAGTCAGCAGAACCATCATATTTAGTGGAAACAGCTGGAAAAACTAAAGTTTGTAGAATGCTTTACTACTGCATGATTATTTAGAATTAGGGTAACAGCTGCTTTTCTGTAAGCTCACCACAGAAAACTAATCTCGTCATAAAAACCTCTATCAACAATACAATAATTCTTATATTTTATTTTTACTTTATTTATGTTTTTGTTTTAATATCCATACTTATAATTTCTTTATATATTATTTTTATGTACATTTTTCTACAGAGAGACCCTGACAGAAGAATTTACCTAATGGATCCCCTGTCTGAACCATGAAGCCCTTTATATTCCGGTGAAATACGCAGCCATTGTAGTAGTTACTAGCACAAAGAGCCAGGAAATTCTAAGGAAATGAAACAAACCATATTAACAAACAATTCAGAAATAGTATCCTCTTACTAGAATGACAGCATTGGCAGGACCAAGACCAACCCTTTTGCCTCTGCTTTGCATTGTGACCATGTGAACTCCACAGAGTATTGCCACAGAATAGTCATAAACAAATTATAGTTAATATGGTCCTTTGACCCTGTCACAGATACAAAGGATTTTAAATAAAGCTTACAGCACAAGGTTGTCTGACTTGAGGAACAAACAAGAAGCCTGAGACATGCTCAGAAGTATCACTTCCATTCAACATTTTTATTTTGTATATGTAATTTTGTAATCAATATCTTCATGCCTCAGCTTTGTTAGTTAAAAAGTAAATTCTTTCAATTTAAGCTTAAGTTTATGGCAGAGAGGAAAACCTGGGGCTTCTGACAAACTGGGGGTGATTCTCACGCTTTTAAATTAAAATAAAATCTGTGCGAGTGTGAGCAAACCCAGGGAAATTTGGGAATCCCAGGCCATGTGCCATATTTCGCCTGAAGGGCAAAGGACACTTTGGGAGCTGCTAGAACTTGGGGAAAAGCAGCCCTGAGCTAAACCTTATCTGATGAGAAACAGGCAGCAAAGCTCTAGGCAGTCTGACACAGTGCACAGGTATACAGTACACAAGTTCCATGAGTCAATAGGCACTGTGCCAGCTTAAAATGTTAATATTCCATTACGTGAAAAGATGAATTGCAAAAGCCACTTCACCTCCTCTACAGTCTTCACTATTTCTACTGCTTTGTTTCAACACCAGGCAATCCCGCTCCTGTTATTTGACTTACTTCACAAGTCTTTGGTGTACGCTCACAGAATAGTTCAATTTTAATATCTCCTACATCAGTATGCAGCGTGACAGCCTGAGGAAGAGGCAGAAAATAATAATTAAATCAGCAATGAAATACTAACAGACTCAGTTTTATTTCCCAGTCCCACCAAGAACATAAGCAAGTTCCTACTGCATATAACCACTGTTTCAATATTTGGCCATAGGCAAGGCTACTGTCACAAAACTTCCACATTTCCAGTGAAATCACCAGAAAGCACTTGGTTTCATTTAGTTTCAGGACAAATCAAGTTCGACAAGGTAATGCAGAAGCTCTGTTTCATGCCGTTACACTCCAGAGACATTATTCATTTGCAAACTGGACCTACTCAGTCACTTAATTGCAAAGTCGAAGAATCAAGGTTATATCTATTTCAGATAATAGTGTGGTGCACACACCTCCCGGTTTACAACCAGAGGAACACCTCACGTGTGTTACCTGCCTGCAGCCTTTTGAGTGATAAGGCTAGCTCTGAATGGCACCGTATACTATCTGCCTTCACAAACAAGCTAATCTACAAAATTACACACTTTTCTAAAGATTTATAAATAACCTTCATAAAATTTAAAATGGCAGTTACCCAGCCACCTAAGCAAATGTATCTCTATAGGCCAAATATATCTCTATAGGCCAAATATATCACAGTACTCCCATGGAAAGTGCTAAACTATGCAAAAACAATTACTGTGGGGCTATACTGCGGATAAGTGTACAGGAAAACTAATAAAAATCAGCATCATGTTGACACTGGCATATTGTTCCAGAAATATACAAGTAAAGAAGAGAAGATAGTTGCCTGCAATGTCTGTAAAGATGCTATAAAAGGTGTACGTACAGTTTAAGACACATACTCTTATCTCTATTTCCTGATTTACTAAACTTTTAAAAGGCTGCAAGTGTAGAAGGTTACATACACTCAAGCAGGGCTATGTGCTTGCAACTTGAATAATGCTTCTGTGGTAAAAGAAACCAAACTAGATTACCAAATATTAGCCAAAGTACTATTAAAATTTAGTATCTTAGAACTGAAAGTCTAATTATATTTTAGACTGATGTAAACTGACCTATTTTCCTTTTCACAGTACCTTGTTAGAAGTCTGAAACAAAAACCTAAGCTTTTCATTACAAATTCTTCACAGCATCAGAGTAAAATGTGTAATCCTTTGAGATGCAGAGCAGCTACTCGCTTTCCAAGAGATGACCATTTCAGAAAGAATGAAAATACATAAAAAGTGCTATTGTTCTCACCATGTCTGCTTATCAAAAAGCTGAGGTAGATTTGTATACAGCAATTTCCTGCAAAGAAAACATATGAAATTTGTTGGGTTTTTTCCACCAATCCCCAGTTCTTTTTGATTCTAAAATATTTGTGTGGTTATATGCTTTTACACCACACAGTTCTACAGCGCCGTTCAAGTGACTCTGTGGATAAATGTTTTACTTGCATCATGCAACTACGCGGTATATAATGATGCTTCTGTGGTAAAAGAAACCAAACTAGATTACCAAATATTAGCCAAAGTACTATTAAAATTTAGGACCTTAGAACTGAAAGTCTAGTTATATTTCAGACTGATGCAAACTGATCTGTTTTCCTTTTCACAGTACCTTGTTAGAAATCTGAAACGAAAACCTAAGCTTTTCATTACAAATTCTTCACAGCATCAGAGTAAAATGAACGAGAAACAGATAAAAATCAGAGTAAAAAGAAATAGAAAGGAGTAGAACAAAATAGCTTAGAGAAAGGGGGCGGGGGCAAAAAAACACCCTTTCCTAAGATGAAAGTTCATTCTAAGCAATCACAGCTTTTCCAAAGATCATGGGTTTACAAATGGCAGAAATTAACAGATAAAAGCCACAGGCCAGTACCCAAACAGCAGTGCGATTTGGAGCCACCTGCCGCGAGCTGTCAGTGCCTGCAACAGACAGGTACCTGCATCCGAGCAGAGGATCATTATCTTAGTAACGTTTCCAAGTAAAGCATTTGGAATGATGATAATAAAACCGCAGTTGCGTAGAAATCAACAGTTTTACACGTTAATTTCTTCTCTATGTCCTGCCCTCCCTGCTTACCCCCCGGGATTGCCAAGGCCTCTCACAGAAGGCGGGGAAGCCGCCAGCAGCCGGCTCCCGCCCGGCCCCCCCTCCCCGCGGGCTCCGGCCTGCCTCGGGCGGCGGGGCGCCGGGACCGCCCCCGCCCCAGTCAACCACCCCAGGGGCCGCCGGCGCTCGCTGCCACCCGCCTGCCCGCGGCTCCCATCCCACCAACGACATG